GGGGGGGGTTGTTTTTGTTTTTAAATCTTGCTGTGAGCTATCCTATCTCTGAAGCTCCTGAGCCAGAAAAACTGCTCCAAGTTAGGTTTTCCGGTACCTTCTTCAGAAAGAAACCAGCCTGATGGTTAGGAAAGGTCTGTTGGTTAGCTTCCTGATCCCCACCAGAACAGTGGCCATTCTTTTCCTTAGCCAGCGTTTGCTGCGGAGCTTTCTGGTCAGTGGGCAGCTGTAGAGGGGTTGCTGCGCTATGTGGCATGCAGGGCCACCTGGTTAGACCCGATGCTGCTCCCGGACCCAAAGTCTGCCGCAGAAGAGCCAGAATGGCAGGCCTTGGGGAAATGGGATGAACCCAGAAGGCTAGGTTTTTATTTTGGCTTTCACCAGGAAAATAAGAGCACGCGCACGCGCACACGCACACACACACACACCTGCCCAATTCTCAAATTGTATTATTCCTCAATAAATATGTATATTTGATTTTTGTTTTGATTCTCACTTGGATTATTGCACAACCCCTCAGCAGGCCCCTGGACCCCAGTTCTGACACCCACTGATCCCCCCTCACCTATCCAGCCAGAGCAATTGACCCCAGATAGAGAAGTGACCACACCCAGCTCCTCTGCTTCCCGCCTTTGCCTGGCACTCCACTGTGTGAAAGATACCATGCCAGCCTGGAGGTGCCTTTTCAAGACCCTTGGGGATCCCGCTCCTACTTCCTCTTCAGCTTACTCACTGTGCATCATTCAAAAAGCCCATGGAAAAACTCAATTATCTTTTTAATTCCAATTTTCCAGTAACTTTTTGAAGCCCCTCATAGCTCAGGGTCCTTCCTCTCTCTATGCCTAATGCAGGACCTAGCATCTCTTTATTTTCTCATTCAACTATTGTCAGACCACACTGCACTGTCGCTGAGTTACAGTCGGAAATGTCCAGGGGACCAGACAATTACATTGGCTTTGGAAAGAGCCTGGGCTTTGTGAACCGTGGGACTTTCCGGTGGCTTTGTTCCAAGAGTCCTCCTCATCCTCCCTGCCGTGTTGCTTCTCCCTCCAGGCAACGGGGAGCTGAGCAACAAGGAATTTGTCTCCATCATGAAGCAGCGGCTGATGCGAGGCCTGGAAAAGCCCAAAGACATGGGCTTCACCCGCCTCGTGCAGGCTATGTGGAAATGTGCACAGGAGGCCGCCTGGGACTTCGCTGTGCCCACACAGTGACCCTGAACTGCAGGGCCACCTCTGGAGCCCCTTGAGCAGAATGGAGACACAACCCTTCCTTCTCCTTCCGAAGTCGTGCTCCCGTCCTCCTGGGAATGACCTCGGGAGCCCACCATTGTCCTCCGCCCTCCCGTGTTCCCGTGTTGTGCTAGGCCCAGATTCCACTCTGTGATCCTCCCACTGGGTCTCGAAAGCTCGCCCTTCGGCACCTCCGGCAGCAGCACCACGCAGCGCCCGGGGGAGCAAGAGCACAGGGACCCTGCGGCCCGGCCAGTTCTCAGAGCCTCTTCCATGCAGGTTCCTGTCGACGAGCGAGCGTCTCTCCTCTTCTGCTGCTGCTGGTGTCCAGTGCACACTGGGAAAGCCTCGGCAGGGAAAGTCAAGCCCACCCTGAGTGGTGGTATGGGTGACCCAGGCACCCTGAGCTGGGGGCAGCCTGGGCCAGAGGAGGGATGCTGTTGTCCCCGAGCAGATGGGGAATTTAAAGCAGCCGCTCAAGGCTCTCTCCACTCCCCTCGCCTCCTGGCAGGCTCCCTGTTCCCTGCAAGTGCCGGGCCATCTGGGAGCGCTCCGCACTGCCAAAGCTGAGGCCTGGCTCAGAGCCGTCTGCCCTGTCTGAAGCACTGTAAAATATCACTTTAATTATACCAGTTTGCAATAAACCTCCCCACCGCGAAAGGCTCCTGTCTCCTTTATTTTATGATCCGGCAGGGCCCTTCTCATCCCACTCCTGGCTTTGAGATCCCTCCACCTGGCCCTCCCCGAGGGAAGGGTAGCGCCCGCACAGACAGACAGTGAGGGCACCCGCAGCTTAGTGGCAGCCATGTCCTGGCACAGCCAGGCTGGTAGCCCATCTCGGGACAGAGCCATTCGTTACTTGCGCCCCACAGGGAGTTCAGCCGGAGCAGTGGAGTGTGGAGGTGCCCTCAGGGTGATGATCCAGGGCAACTGTGTGTGATGGACTCACATCCTGGTTGTAACTCTGCTGGTCATGACTCAGCCGGTAGCTCACCTCTGCCGTGACCAACACGACGGACAAGGTTGAGCTTAATGGGCTCTAAGACTTCTTCCTGAAAGAAACTCCAAGCAGACCCCCCTGGTATGGCAGCGTCTTGAGGCTGGTGGAATAGAACTGCCACAACAAACTCCCAGTGTCCTGGAGAGGCCACTGGTTCTGAATGCTGGTGGGTGTGCCTGTCATGCAGCAGAGAGCAGAGACCTGGGCCCAACCCACAGCTCCCCAAAGAACTTATGAACACCACTCTTCTCCTCTTTTGGGGGGTTCCTAGGACCCAAGAATAGGCTTTGCTTGTTCATTGCCCAGGTCTGAAGCATTGGAAAAATGTGAATTGCTTTAAATTTGCCCCAAATGATTCATTCCCCTGACCCTCCTGCTCATTCTTCAGCCTGATAAACGAGTTATGCTTTGTGAGCATGGTTGGCGTGGGTTTGCTAGAAGCTGAGGGCCGGAATATGACAGATAAGGATCTTACTGGCAGGTCCTGAAACCAAGTTTAAGGTGCTCAAGAAAATTGGCCTATCTCACAACTTGGGCCTAATAGGGTAAATGTGCCCTATACGATGTACAAGCCCAAAGGGGTCTTGGGCCCCCCAAGGAAGGCGAGGCGCAAGGTGGCGTGTGAGCAGAGCTGAGGGTGGGCTGGGGAGCATCCGGACACGAAGCTGAGGGTGCTTCTCTGCTGTCCACCCAGATCGTTCCTCCTGCCTGTGGAGGAGGGGCCCTGGTAGAGCCGTGGGTGAACACTTGGGCTGCTGAATGCAAGGTCAGCAGTTTGAGCCTACCTTGGGGGAAAATGAGGCAGTCTGCTCCATAAAAGATTTACAGACTCAAAAAATAATGATAAAACCAATCAATCAATTAATTATATATTTACAGCCTCGACTGTCTTTCAAGGGTCGCCTGGTCAGAATCGACTGCATGGTGAGGGGTAGAATGACCTTCCCCTCCCCGTCGACTCGGCCCAGATGGTCCGCCCTCAGCCGGCATCATCAGTGCCACGTCTGCCCTGAGGGCCCCTACCCACCCTAGCCACACTTGTGTGCCTTGTCACTTTTAGGGGAGTCTCCTGCAAAGCTAGAGCCAACACAGCAACACGATCGGAGGGTAGCCCACTTCCCAAAACTACTCTGTCCCTGTGCGATGACAATACCGTCTACTCTCTTCTCTGCTTTTTCGAAAATATTTAAAATTCTCCAGTTTTTGCCGTTTAGTTTCCTACCCCAGCCCATTCCTTGCCCAAACTTTTTTTCCCCTTTTGTCTTCAGATCCTATCGATATCATAAAAGTCAAAAAGAAACCAACTAGCTAAAAGGCAAATAGGACCGTCCCCAGAGCTGGGGAGAGAAACCCAGGTGCAGCCGCAGCGTCCGGAGGATGAGCAGGGGAGCAGGGAGAGGGCTTCTAAGGGAGCTGGAGACTGTGCACGGCCTTTGAAATCTGTATTCGAGCAGCTGGTATTGTCCTGCCGAGTGGGGACTCTGGCCGGAGCACATCCTCAGGTAAGCACTCGGGGAAGAGACCAGGCAGTGTGAGGCTACCTGACACGCAGGGTCAGCAGCGTGGGAACCAAAAGCCATGGCCAGGGCATCCTCTTCATGCCGGAGTAAAGCCCCAGAGCCTTGCGTTCAAGTTGATTCCGACTCGCAGTGACCGACAAGACAACGTAGAACTCCTTAAGGGCTTTGAGGCTAAGGAGTGGCTGGTGGATAAACCCACAAGCAGGGTAACCCTATTAACAGAATCTCACTGCTGCTGCATACAGGGTGTCTGAAACTAAATCTTCATGGGAGCAGATAACCTCAGCCTTCTCTCATGAAGCAGTTGATGGGTTTGAACCTCTGACCTTACAATTAGCAGTGGGCTCATTACAAACAAGGTAATAGGACCCAGTAAGCTTTTAAATGGGAGGCTGAGGAAGTAAAGTTCAACTTTCATGCTTTGTCTGCCACCTGCTGGCAAGAAAGTTCAGTACAGGGACTCTGGCTGCTTGAGCAGTCTCTACCCAGCCATGGTGCTGAGAATGGGCCTTCAAGGGACCTGGGCAGCATGGAGTGGCGAGAAGTGGACCATAACCACGAAGATTGGTATGAATATAATAGGAGGAAAGTAGCAATGCTCGTGTGGTGTTCTCTGTGACCCCAAACTCCCCCCAACCCCAAAATCACTGCCATCAAGTCATTCCGATTCATAGCAACTTTGCAGAACAGAGGGAGCCCTGGTGGTATAGTGGGTTATGGCCTGGTAACCATAAGGCCAGAAGTTCAAAACCACCTGCTGGACACAGATGAGACTTCCCACTCCTGTAAAGATACACGGTCTCGGAAACCCACAGGGGTAGTTCTGCTCTGACTTACAGGTCCACATGAGCCTGGGACGCCAGGATAGGAATGTTTACCAGCGAGTGAAGCGCTCAGATTCACTGTACCCATTCTGTACTTGGTACTGACCCTACGCCGGAGTTCACCTTCTCACAGCCGGGACAAGTGCTGCCGCGGGGACTCTCCGAGCAGAGGCCATTCAGCAGAAGACTTTGACAGGGCCTCTCAGAGAGGCAGGAGTTAGCCAGAGACCAGGTGAGCACACAGCGCTAGTATTTACACTCTTTAAAATGGCAACACTTTTGCTTAGGCACATTTTGCCACAATAACAAAATTTTATATAGATACATATAACTACGGATACTTCAGGGAAGGCTTCCCAGAGGAATTTTTTTTTAAATATCTTTCATTTAAAAGCAAAAACGACCTGATTGTTGAGTAGGGCCTGAAGTGCACACAGAGGTCCCGAGGTCAGGGAAGCATGTTCGGGTGATGTCAGGGGAGGGCAGGCAAGCGGGCCCTCCCCGTGCACATTCTGTGAGCCAGGAATGACGGGGGAGGCCAGTCACGTGAGCACACATGCAAAGATAACTCAAAAGTTCACTTGTGTCTTTTCCATGTTTACCATTTTCCTTTTTCTTATTTTTTTATTGTGTCTTAATTATCCTGTTTGCTGAGGAGGCGGTAGTAATGTTTACTAAGCACAATCAGAGCCTTGCTTTGCATAGACATGCTCCTGTGTGGTCAAGCTATTGAACAAAACAGTTGCCAGCCCCTCCATTTGGTGTGCCCGTTTCAGCGGGGTTCACTGTGTTGACTGCTGTTGTACAGCCATCACACGACCCATTTCCGGGATGGCCCATCGTCCTAGACAGCATTTGGACATTTAAAAAAAATAACGATAAGTATGTAAAGCCCTCCCATACAGTCGATTCTGACTTGGCTGCTCTAAAGGACAAGCAGACCCAGCCCGCCGGGGCGTTGGCGTCAGTCACCAGTGTAGAAACAGACTGCCATCATTTCCTCCTCTCCCCACCCCCCAGGGGCTGGTCGCTTCACAGCAGGAACGATGTCCAATACCAGCCAAGGGTTTGATGACTGCACCACAAAGAAGGAGGGCGGGAGGACCACTGCTGTGAGTCCGGTCCAGTGGTAAGAGCACTGCCTCGTGGTATTTGCAAGGCTGTAATGCACTGTGCCACATCTTTCTCCCGCACGGACTGGTCTTTCCATCAGCTGGCCTTTGGGGGAACAGCAAAGTGCTTTACCATCGCATACCACAGCGCCTTTTACTGAGCGTGTGTGTGAGTCCGGGTGGAGTAGAGAAACAAATCCAGAGACACCCAGGTGCATGAGAGAGAGCAACTGTATATTACGAAAACATTCCAGTCCAGATCAAGCCCATAAGTCTGATATTAGCCCATTTGCCTGAAACTAGTCCATAAATTCCACAGACTCAAGCAGGAAGATCACAGGCCAGTGGGTGAAAAGTCTTGTGGAAGCGTCTCGGCGCTGGCGCGGCTCTCTTATGTGGCTCCTCCAGCTCCAGGGCTCTGGCTGCCATCAGCATGGCTTCATGTGGCTTGTCAACAGAACGTGAAGCAGAGAGAGTGTGAGTCCTGCCTCCAGGGAGGAACACAGGAGTCCCGAAGGCCATGCCCACACAGCGGCTATGACCCGATTGACAGGCTAGGCTCCACCCCTTCGCTCAAGTTGACAGGAGATGAAGTAACCAGTAGAGCATAGGAAAAAAATCCTTATAGCTGAATGATAGTGAAAATACTCACTGCCAGTGAGTCAGTGCCAACTCATTGGCCCTTACAGGACAGGGTAGAACTGCCTCTGAGTTTCTGAGGCTTTACCTGTTTAGGGGAGTGGTGAGCCCCTTCTTTCTCCCAAGGAGAGGCTGGTGGTTTCAAACTGCTGACCTTTAGGGTCCCATAGCACAGTGCATAGCCATTAGGGCCCAAGGGCTCTGCAGAAATACAACTAGGGCCCAGCTAAAGGGAAACTTACCGACTTCGTACACACCTGCAAAGCACCATGATTAGTTGCAGAACCATCTACCTCAAGAAGGTGACGAAAGAACAAAATACAGCCCAAAGAATCACAAGGAGCACAACTCGGTGACGGGGGATGTGGCGGCAGCTGCACAATGAAATAAGGCCGCTGACTGTCCGTTAGAAAATGGTTAAAATGTACGTTACCACCTTACAAAACGTACAGTATCTAAATCCATATCAAATACATGTGACTAAACCAGAGAACTGGGGGCAGGACAGGCAGGCTGCAGTGAAAGAATGCCGGCCTGCGGCGGCTGTCACATCACTGAACAATGT